GTCTATATTGTCGCATCTATTAACCCTTTGCACTCGAAAGGTGACTCTCAGCCACCACTTGATTTGATTTGTAAAATTATAAAGTCTTACATATAATATTAAGCTTTACATGATGCATCAATACGTGGAATATTGAAATAAAATAACTTTCCTTCTTAATTTATGTATGTTTTCTCATTAATTAATTTCAAAGAACATCGTCTGTATCTCATCGCAGAATATTGAATATTTCTAGTGAAAAACTTTCGAGTGCAAAGGGTTAAAAGATAAGAAGGCGCGGAGAAAACAATGTTTAGGGAGGCATAATATCAAAAGGGTAGAAAACCGGTTAAAAGTAAACACAAGTTTTCACCCGACAACACTGAAAATAAATCGAGTGCAAAGGGTTGAACAGTTCCATACGGAGAAGTCCCCGCAACCTGATCATTTGACATGCATTTTACGCGGCGGTTAGGCTTGCGCGAGAAGAGGAAGAATTTTTATTACATCTATTAACCCATTCGAGACGGCAATTTTTTTCGAACACGGTCCCCAGGAGCGAAATTTTGTCACGGGGTTTTCCAATGAAGTTTTTTAAAATCTCTAGACGATATTCATAAAAACTCACTTTTTTTATTGTTGGTGAGTACGTTGATTTTGTTTTTCTATACATTACAGATACTATTAATTCAAAAGAAGTCTTATCTCGACGACTACTTTACTCAGAATAACTGATAAATGCTCATTATTATTATTGCACACGCGGTGTGCAATCGGTCTCGAAAGGGTTAAAAAATAAGAAGGCACGGAAGAAACAATTTTTAGGGAGGCGTAGTATCAAAAAGCTACAACCCGCTTAAAAATAAGCACAAGTTTTCACCCAACAACATTGAAAATAAATCGAGTGCAAAGGGTTGAACAGTTCCATACGGAGAAGTCCCCGCAACCTGATCATTTGACATGCATTTTACGCGGCGGTTAGGCTCGCGCGAGAAGAGGAAGGGGTGGGGAAGGTCGAACGCGGTATAAGGAGGGATGAGGTTGCCGCGCGCGCCATCGCGGGTTCAGTGAGCAGCGAGCTCTCGTCGCGTGAACATCGTTTTGTTACCGTCCTCCCGGAAACCGGCGAGCCACGTGGTTTGTTCCTTCGTTCCGTCGGTTGCAGTCAGCCGCGAGCGAACGCGAGAGAAAAAGCATCGCTTCGTCGACCGTGGCCGGGAAAAAAGTCGCGAGCGGTGCATCGTTGTGTCGCAGCGGGTAGCCGCGTCGTCGTCGCGTGTTCGCGTGACGGGCGAAAAACCGGGTCGAAGGTTATTGCAATTCAAATCGGGCCGAATTATATCGAGCAGCTTCGCTCCTCGCGCCGCCCACGCTTGCCTCTCCTCGGTACGTTCATTTTTTCCTCCGAGTTTTTTCCCTCGGCCTCGTCGAAGACGCCAACGTTGATTAGAAGCATCCTCCGCTTTGCGGTGGTTTTTTTTAGGAATCCTTCGAGGCTCGTCGATAGCGTGCTCCGATGATCTATGATCGATGCGGATACTGCTTATTCGACACTAGATTTACGGATATTCTATACTCTATTGTTCCTAGAGAACTACGTGTTCGTTTATATAAATCAAATTGTAGCAAAACCAGAGTATTGCAAAGATCGACTTAAACTATTACTAAATAATGTTTGAAAAATTCAGTATCCGTCAAATTGACGAGTTCCGTAAACCTAGTGTTAATCTTGGTTTGATGGGAGTTTGATTATAGTATGTCAATTTGTTGTCGTTTTTGGAAAGATTCACGTTCGAAATGTTCGAGTTAGAGGTACTCTACGTCGGAGCAAGGGTTTGAGTATGCAATAGCTGATTAGAAGCATCCTTCACTCGGTAGTTTTTCGATAAATGATTATCGTCGATAGTGTTCCGATAACCTGTGATCGATACAGACGCTGTTTGTTTACGTGGTTATCTCGTTACTTGTTTAGACGGGGAACATTTCGATTACAGCACGAAGTGAATTTGTTTTCGGATGTTCTCTAAGTGTTTACTGAAATGTAGGTTTCGGAGAGATTTACGTTCGAAATATTCGTGTCGGGGATACCGCGGTTTCGTAGCTAGAGTTTGAGTATACAATAACACGTAACGATATAGAAGCCAACGTCATAGAGGAGATATTTTTAACTGTACAGCATAATATCTGGACAGCGGCGATGCGCGAGTCGCGCTGTTCCGCTCCGCGGCCGTGGATACATGTTTATTTATTCGAGATGAAGTGCGCGCGACTGGATGGCGACGCGACGCGGGTGTAAACGGATTTAAAAATGACATTACTGCCGAGAGACCGGCTATGAAAAGTCTCGGCCGGTCGTACGGATACGGTTTTTTCACCTATTATCGGTCACGTGTCCCGCTTCCGAGATACCGTCGATCGTTGACTCGGACGATATTATATCTGTGAACGGAGTTACCGTTAAGATCAATGTTTCCCGGTCGGAGGAGATCACTTGACGAAAGCTGTTTATCTCTTATCAGCGGTGTCCACGTTCGAAACTCTTCCCGTTGGCGCGACCGATATTTCAGGGAGCGTGTTCCTGTTAGAGACTCGTTTAGTTTAGATGACGTCGAGTCTGTAATCATAACATTAACCCTTAGCGCTCCAGATGGTTTCGTAATATATCAGCAACTGCGACTAATTTTTATGGTATCTCTAGTGAAAATTAGAAATGCTATAACATTACTTCGATCTTTTGTTTTCCTTCTCAGTAGAAAATTTGGATGTGAAAATCAAATAATTTTAAGGTAGTTTCTTTGATTCGTTAAAATATTTGATATTATAACTGGTGCAATATTGGAGTCTACAGAGTTCAAAGGGTCAACGGTATCAACTGCATTCACGAAGAATCATTTCGGTTGATATTCGGCACACGATAAAACAATTTACCCCTTTGAACTTTGTAGGCCCCGATATTGCAACAGTTATAATATTAAATATTTTAATGAATCTTAACCCTTTGTGGACGAAAACTCTTCGAAAAATGCAAAACCTTCAACATATAAAGCTTAATTATATATCAATTGCTTAATTAACAGAAAAAAAGGAAACTACGGCCTGATCTCCTGCTGTTCGACTAATTAAATCATTTGTTCGCGAGTTAGTCTTCCAAATATGAATATTTCATCTTATCGAAATGCCGACATCCGTCCGCAAAGGGTTAAAGAAACTATCCTAAAATTATTCGATTTTCACATCCAAATTTTGTACTAAGAAGGAAAATAAAAGATCAAAGAAATGTTATAGCAGTTCTCATTTTCGCTAGGAATACTAAATTAGTTGCAGTTGCTGATAGATTACAAAACAACCTAGAATGATAAGGGTTAAATTCCTGTATGAGATTGTATGATCTATTTTCCAACTATGTTCGATACACCCACTCTGTAATTAACGTTTCATTGAAGAAAGAGGGAAATCGGCATATTCTATGCCTGCTCTGAAATATAATAATTGATAACAGGAGAATATTCGATTCGGATACAAGAAAATCGTGCAACATACACTTTAAATTCTGTTCAAAATCTTCACGAGTTAATTACATATCATTACAATAGATAATACAATAGCAAAATGTTTTAAATACATATATTCTTCTGAATACATTTCTTTTTAGCCACTATTTCGAAGATTTTAATCAAACTTTTGTCGTACATTACGCGATTTTACAGAATTAAATTGACACTCAACTCGATGACAACAATTGTACCATATCTGTGTTGTAATAAGGCGCGAGTCTTGAGAGTTCTCCAGGTAGCACGCTCCCCGACAACGCGTTGACGTTTCATTGTGGCTCCGCCGGAGATAGCGCCAGCCAGATACAAACTTAACGAGCCGGATGCTTATCGTCTCGTGGACGACCGTCGTGACTACTTCGCTCCCCGAAGTATTCCGTCAATAAGCCGTGGTGGCCCCGTAAATCATCGGGTCGTCAGATATATTGGGAACAGCTGGAAAACTGATTTACGTTAGTTTTTTAAGTACGTGCTCCGAATACCGGCCTCTCCGGGATACCGGGGCTTTCCTGTGGAAAGAATCTAGGTCTGAAAGATTTGTAGCGGTGTTATCATTTTTTCATTAAATTCCGACGGAAACCGATGCGCAAATTCCGAGCAGAATCCTCTGTGTACCTCCAAATTCAAGTTTGAATCAAATTTGGGGTAAATTCGAAATAGATTTGAGTTTTCTTCTCAAGTGAATTGAAATCTCATTGAGATTTCGACTGAATTTCCACCGAAATCGATCCAAATTCGATTTCGCGGGCTAAATTTACAGAAGACCGGATTTACATTCGACGCGAGTTCACAGGTTCAAGTTTAATTCTGACGCGCGCGAAGTTCGCGCCAGGATCGAATGGAATTTCCCGTGGAACGAACCGATTCGACTCGAATTTGACGAGGAAGCTCCGTCCCGAGATATCCGCCGATGATTCGAGCATGTAGCCCAGAAACTCGCGAGTCATTCGCGAGCGGAGCGTTGCAGTTTGCACGGAGTCACGCATTCCCGGTTGCATAATCTCTTGATTAACGGCGGACAGCCGCGTCATTGAAAGATTTCGTGAAAGTCGCGGCGCATCCTCGCGCAGCCGAGCGCTCGAGCCGAGGCCCGGAGGGAAATGAAAGGTTTTAAAGGTCGTATTAGCGTGTCGAGTCGGACCGTTGTTTAACTGGGAACCAACGAACCTCGCGTCGCGTAACTTACGACGAGCAGTCTTCACGCTCGAGCAAACACTTCGGTTATCGTGCTCGTTCGTCAAATATTTGCCGAACCGCTGTACACGTTCGAAAAAAGAGGAACATTTTCTCTCGCGACACTCGAGCCGATACCACTTGCATCCTCGATCCGACGGTTTTTCGCGAAACTCGATCGAATCGAACGGCTCGGAGGATCTTCGAAGTCAATTTCGATTGATACGTTCGCGATTCGTGAACTTGCTCGAGTAATCGAAAGAGTGGCAGCGTGTTCAACGTTCTTTTCATTCGCAGCTGGGAAAACGAACGGAGATCTCGATCGGCGCGGATCAACGATCGAGCGGAGAAGCCAGGACACCGAGGACAGGTATGTCGAATCTCGTTGTTCACGGCGGTTGACCTTTTTTCCGCGAAATGCCGCATTTCCGCGGCGGCAAAAGTGAAAGTCATCAACCCGGCGGACAACCGCGAATCTAGCCGATCGATTTGCCTGTGTGTGTGTCTGCGTGAAATGCATCGTTAACGGCGCATCGATTCGCTTTTTTGCGCTCTGTTTTGCTCGCCGCTTTTTCCTCCCCCTTTGTTTGCCGTGTTTCCGTTTTAACGGAAGAATTTTTTCCTACCTAACACGGCCGCCGTTGGATTAACGATCTAGTTTGTCCGCGATTTGTCGAGCCACTTTACTGTTTGCTCAGCGCCGGGTTCACGGAACGCTCGATGCGATGCATATCGAATTTTGTCGGGATTATTTGGTCAATGCGTCCGGCGATTTCGATCGACGCAATTATACGAGTATGCAGCGTATTTAGATACAGAATTTAAGCACACAGTCGACTGTACTGTGAAATATTTTCTTCTATCGTACTTTCCTTCTTCCGTACACTATAAATCAACCATCGCTCAAAATTTCGGTAGATTAACACGTTGAATGCTATAGGATAAAGTAAAATATACGGAAAAATATAATATTAACCGTTTGGATGCTAAACAACTTTTGATGTTTACCAAAAATGCGGAAGTGATTGGGTGTGTATGCAAAAAAATAAGAGTATCTAATGAGATCACAAATATTGTGTTATTACGAAAAAATATCAAAAAATAAGATTTATTCAAACAAATTTACTTTGATTTATTTCTTGGAGAATATAGCAAGAAAATTATAATTGATACTGATAAACAGAAGCGCCTCCGCGCTCTCAATTTTGTTATTGCACGTTCATCTATTTATAATATAGAAATGTGAACTATATTAATTCAATTTGATTAGTCACCGGTGACCTTTCAACGTGTCGAATTAACCCTCAGCACTCCAGATGGTTTCATAACGTGCCAGCAACTCCTACCAATTTTGATGGTAGTCCTACTGAAAATTAACAGTGTTATAACATTTCTTGGACCTTTAACACTAGAACTACCGTAACAGTCAAAATGACTGGTTTCGATTTGTTTGTTTCGCAGTTATTAATACTTAGAAACATTGAATATTTGAAATGATTTTGGAAATAAATAGTTTCACTTGAGTACTATGATGAATATCCAAAGAAACTGAAAATAATTTATTGTTACAATTTTTATAGAGATTACATACCAATCGTATTAAATGCTCGGTAGTTCTAGTGTTAATTCCCTTCTCAGTACAAACTTTGTACATCTGGAAGATCTAACAATCTTAAGATAGTTTTCTTAAAATTTATTAAAATATTTAATATCAGTATTGCTGCAATATTGGAGTCTACAGAGTTCAAAGGGTTAAAATGTTATTGTTTTGTTTATAGAATCCAAATTTTAAATGTAGAAAAGAACTTCTGGAAATGCAATATGAAATGATCAAAAAATTTAAGTAAAAAGTTCAAGTATGACTCAAAGTTACATCGTGGTTAGGGTTAAACATCTAATTTTAAAAGCCCAAAAGAACTTTTGGAAATGCAATATGAAACAATCAAAAAATTTAAGAAAAATGAACTCAACGAGCGAACGCCGAGTTTCCTAGGAACAATAGAATTATACAATAAATGCTCATAAACCTAGTGTCAAGTACCTTATTCTTAGCCAAGTGAAAGCACCGCACTCGATATGAATTTCTTTTATTTGTCGCACGAGTGTGATTAGCGAACCAGTTCCCAACAGTTTATATAATCTCGAGTGGCTCGAAGTGCAATATCTCGCTCGCGGTAGAGGCTCGATTGTATAATGTGTTAATAGTTTTACATTGCCGGACGGTTTATTATGTTTCTATGAATAGAACGAGGTTTTCGGGTCATCATTTCTCCGAATGCCAAAGGTGGAAGGTCGATTATCGATGTTCGAGAGCTCCGGCTCGGTTTCATTCGGCTCCTTTATCACCCTGGCGCATCGTCGAACAGTCGACAATCGTTCGCCGCGTTAATTACTCGCCATTAACGAGCTCGGAGCTCGCGAGTCAAGGTCCTTCGTTCGTCCGTCCGATTTGAACCGCCGTTCCTTCGTCCCTCAGCACGTGTCCGCTGCAAAAATGACGGTTTCCAACTCGGTAGATCCGTGGGACAGATACATACGAAACAATTGTTATCGCGTGACGACAGGCCCTGTCATCGCGTTTCCGTAATAGCCAATAATTTCCCAAGCCTTACGAAAATTATGCTCAAGGTTTTTCCTGGTTGGATATTTTTACTGCGTCGTATGTTTCCACTCGACAGGTGGAACTTTTTAAAACTGCATACAGTTATACTTCGTGTTATCTCTTGGAATTGGTGACTTTCAAAAATATCGGAAATTGTTAATTATTCTTACAGTAACATCTATATTAAGAAAAGGAGAATTTAGAATCGGAAGATCGAGTTGGTTCGACCTTCACTCAAGAATAACTTCAACGATGAAATAAGAATCATCGGTACCAGAGAATTATATTCAATCGAAATAATTTTAGTTCTCAAAGAGCAACCGGTTGCAAGCTCCACTCTCAAGTCCTGATTTTATAACTCCCCGCCAAAACAGAGTTGAAATTGAAGATATCGAGTAATTCGGGATTCCCGCGAATTCGCGTTTTCGCGTAGGTCGGTACTAATTGACCAAAGAGAAGGCAGCCGGCATTCAGTTGCTTCATTAGAGGTTTTACTACGCTGAAATCTCGACGAAGCTCCCCTCAAAAACTTCGGCATTCCGCCTGGACCATTTACATTTCCCATAAACACGTGGAAACACTCTCGGCCGGCTAATGAATAATTGCGGGAAGATTTCATTATCTCGTTACGCGATCCCGCGGTATAATCCAGCGATAAACCAAATCCAATGAACGTCCACTCCCGGTGCCGCCGTTCAAACTCCATTCTCCCCGGAGAAACGGATTCCATTCTATACGGCCAATTCGTTTCCGCGCGCCGAACGCGTCTCCTATGGGCGTAGAAAAAAAAAGAAAGGAAAAAGAAGAGAGAAGAGAAGAAACGTTCACGCTCACCCGAGCCGGTAATAAGCGAATCTTTTTATTCCGTCCCATCGAGTTTCATATTTTCCGCGGAGCTATAACGCGAGCGCACGCGTCGCGTTCATTTCGTTGGAATTATTCATCGCGACGTCTCGTCCGCGCGCAGAGGAGATCTCTCGATCGCGACCGTCGGCCTTTGTCTCCCGCGAGTTTTCCGTTTAATCTTGCATCCGACGCGTATCGCCTTTATTATCGCAATATCGGGGAATTTCTTTCGGGCCGGCCGATAATCGAAGCACGGAGTAAAATTTTTATCGCCGCGCGCCGCCGCCGTTGCTTCTCCTAGGATCTGTTAACGCCCGGGAAAATCGGGCTCCGCACGTCGCGCGAAAATTCCGCGCACCCGCCGCCCGGCCCGTCATCTTGTAAGCCGGCATCCTTTCCCGCGTTACTGTTAAAACTCGCTCCCTTTTTATCGGCGCTCGTATTTGAACAATAGTCCTCGATGGCTCGGACCCTTGCGAGAGTCTTCGATATCTGGAGTCTGAGATGTTTGGGATGTTGTAATGTAAGGGAGTTTGGATTTTTGAAATGGTTTTGGGGAAATATTGTAATGCAAGGAACGTAGGCTTTTTTAAACGTTTTTGGAGAAATATTGTAACGTGAGGAACTTTGGTTTTTGAAATGTTTTTTGGGGGAATATTGTAACGCAAGGAACTTTGGTTTTTGAAATGTTTTTTGGGGGAATATTGTAACGCAAGGAACTTTGATTTTTTGACACGTTTTTGGGGAAATATTGTAACGTGAGGTACGTTGATTTTTGAATTGTTTTTTGGGGAATATTGTAACGCGAGGAACTTTGGTTTTTGAAGTGGTTTTGGGGAATATTGTAACGCGAGGAACGTTGGTTTTTGAGATGTTTTTTGGGGAATATTGTAATGCAGAAAACTTTGGTTTTTTACAACTTCTTTTGGAGGAATATTGTAATGCAAGGAACATTGGTTTTTTTAAACGTTTTGGGGGAAATATTGAAACGCAACGGATTGTGTTTGGTTCCTATTGTTTCTAGATGTAGGATTCTTCTTGCACACTGGAATATCGTTGCGTCAGCGGTGATGCGTGCATTATAATTAGAACGAGATGCAAGTGGTGATAAGGTTAATGACGTTTTAACAAGGTTGAGTATATTATTTTCTTCTTTGAGCTAGATAGAAGTAAACTGTGATACGGAGATTGATAGGGTAATAAGTAGACGTTATTTAGGTAGAACTGATTGCGGTGGTTAGATTATTGGGTACAGTGTAATCTAGCGAAATAAGTCTTTCGTTATCGTTCTACGTTCGTCTTTATTGTTCTTACTACCGGTATTAAGTTAATAGTATTAAAAAAGAGGAAAGTAGTTGCAGAATTCGAGTAAATTAAACGGAAGAAGTTGGTAATAAAGTACGTTCGGTGGGCAGATCTCGGTTGTTAGATAACAGAGAAACTGTTGAAATTCGCCGGTTGAT